CAGGTGCTTACCGGGCACGGCAGCTTCGGTAGGTTCCTGTTTCGGATCCAGTAGGAGGAAACGCCCGAGTGTCGTCATTGTGAGGACCACCTAGAGGATACGGTGGAGCATACGGTAACGGTATGCCCTGCCTGGGCTGAGCACCGCCGTATCCGCAGGTAAGTGATCGGCGGCAGCGACCTCTTGCGCCCGGTCTTAGTCGAGGCCATGATGCGGAGTGAGAGGAACTGGGACGCCGTCTCCTCCTTTTGTGAAGCAGTCATGCTCGCAAAGAGAGAGGCGGCCCGCGTGAGGGAGCAATCCTCCTCCTCACGCCCCAGCCGCCGCAACTGGCAACACTACGGGCGTCGGGGATCAAGGGACGATCTCCGGCCACCGTAAGCACGGGTCTGCGGTCGGCGAGTAAGGGCAGCTCGCCGCCTGACCAGAACCAGGCCCGAGTGTACGGCGCGTAGCCTTCCGCGCGCGCCTCAAAGAGCCAATAGACCACTACAGACGGGGCCCTAAAGGGCTGATGTTCAGCCAGGGTTGCGGGGTAAGCGCAATGAGGCACCGCGACCTCGGCACAGAGCAGGAGAAGGAACGGGGGTTTTTAGTCAGTAAGAGTCTGACACTCCCTCCCGCCCGACCCAGGGCGGGAGAAGTCATTTGATGATTTTCCCCTCACAAAAAAAAATCTTATTGATTGTGTGATTGTGAATAAAATTGCGAGGAAACCAAATAATACAAGCGTGACTTTATTTTGAATTCCGGTCGTTACAACGCCCACGATAGAAAGTGACAGCCATGACCGCCACGAGGCTCCTTCTGACGCTCTCACATCAGAAGTAGGATTACCTGTAACGACTCAGGAACAGAATACAGGTCAGCACGTTAATATTTCACAAGATAAGGAGATTAAAATATGGAAACGTCTTTTTAAAATGCAGCAACAAAGTATGATATAATTCATTCGTACTATACAGGAACCACGTGCAGCCAGCACGAAAATAACGTTACCTGAGTTTAATCCTGATACTCCAGAGCACGATGCTTGCGCCTGATGCGAAACTGTGGACATATGTTTACAAGAGAAACCTATTTCCAGCAGCGATTTGATAATCACAATGAGCAAGGCACTCAAGGAATTTTTAGCTCGATTTGATTATGTCAAAACTCTAGCTGCGACATTATGCAGGCTTTTCAATGAAAGTCCCAAGTCGATTTCTGAGTACATTAATGAATCAGTGGCATACACTATCAACTAAACAGATTGCAATCACTTATATCAACTAAACAGATTAAAATTGAACTACGATTGCAAAGACTGTCATACGCTCTGTAGTTTCTACTCCAGTACTATTTGCACTTTCCGTACTAGTGGAAGCTAAAGCTTTATTAACTAACTCAAAGCATCGACCTCTTTTCATGTTAGTTTTATCTGTAACAACAGATAATAGTGTTAGAATGTAGCAAAAAAAGTTATAAAGCTCGTTAAGTATTAACAAGCAATGATTAAATGCAATTCAAACTAAGAAAGTTACAAAATACACACAATTTAATAGAACTATATAAAAGTTAAAGAAATGATTTACGTACTCGTAAGTACCTAATAAAAATATCAATGAATGAGTAACATTATGTTTATTAGTAGTATTTTAATTTATTATATTTTTACTTCACTAAGTACATAATAATGATATAAGACTGATATTATTTTTTATACCAAAACAGAAAATAATAAATATACCTACTTACCTTATACGACGAATTACGCAGCGAAAATTTGCGCAACCGCGACCCGTCTCTTCAACAGCTTACTCGGGCGCAACTGGCAAAGAAACTAGTCAGGCGCCGTACAAAACATACCCCCCCAACACCCCGCGCAAGCTCCGCATTATACACAATTTTAAAAAAAAAGGACGTATATGCACGTTTGCGTCTTTTTTATTAAGTAACTGTTGTTTAATTTTTTTTCAACGTAAGTTATTAAGGCGCTTATGGCAAATACGTCTATGCGAAATCAATTTTACGAAATAAATAGGGCGCAAGTTGTTAGATGTGGTCTTTTTTTCTTATGTGGTCTTTTTAGACGTAAACGCGAATTTGCGTCTTATTAACTTCCTCTTAGAAATAGAAACAAATATGTGCCTTTTAAATTACCGAACTAAGAAAAAAACTTTAGACTAAATGGACGTTATCTATTTAAATGCGACTTTTCAACTAAGTTTCCAATAAATTCGTCTTTTCATCTTCAATCAGATTTAAAAACAATTACAGAAGCGTCTTATTTCATTGTGTTAAGATCGCACTGGAGAAAGTTAGCAAAATATTAAAAATACAGGCAGATGCGCCTTTTTTTTCTGATCCCGACAATGTATTTAACTCAAATTTGGAAAAAATGTTAGATGCGTCTTTTTTACTAACGGGGGTAGTATGTAAGGGTTATATCAAAGATGGATAAATTTGCTATTAGCACGTTCCAGAAGATAGAAAGCCGCGTCAGCTCTAGCAGTAACCCCATTAGAGTTCTATTTACATTTGAACAGACAAAGACACAATAAGACAGAACATAATTGTATTTCTTCCAGAACTTCCAGAATAATTTAATATTTTACTTCAAAAATTCTAGAACCTGACCTCGTTTATAACAAGCAAATTGACATTCAAACCAAACTACGTAGCAAAACGTTGGAAAGAATAAAATCGTCTTCAGCAAAAGATTGATTGCTTTTCTGACATCTATTCTTTTATGAATCAAATTGAACAGTCTTCGATGGAACTCAAATTGTCCTTAGGTACCAAGTTTAATTAAACAGTCTTCAACAGTCAAAGACCTTAAACGAGACGCTGGGGATGTCTAAACTTCTAAGAAACTTAGTACACGTACAATGTGGTTAAGTAATTAATTTGCCGAGGTGACATTGTTGTTTTCTAACATAAAATAAGTTGAATACATTACACAGAATAAAACGTTGCTTCGGTTTAATCCCAGTGTGATACAAACAAATGAGAAAAACAAAGTTTGGGTTTTAAACAAACAACATTCGCGTAACGTGGATAAGGTGCAAGGGGAAGGTAATTAGAAGGGGAGTGTCATAACGTTGATAATGTAAATATTTTGTCTTATTAAGAAGAGTTCATTAAGAAATAATAACACTGGTATTATAATGAAAATAAGTTTAACTAAACAGTAGGTATCATCGTCTACATAGCTAACTTTTTACATAAAAGATAAATAGTTAATGGAAATGGTGTAGTATTAAGTAATGCCAAAAATTTAAACGAAGGTACGAAATATAGAAGACTCAGATTAAAACATGGCATTTGATGATTTAAAACTTATTGTGTTTAATTTAAATACAATTTTGACCAAAGCAGTGTGGTAAATAAATGGTCAACATAGGACTGGTAGTAGTACTCTCAGAATATCACAAGACTATTTACTATGACGAGACCGATTTTAACTAAAATAATCAGATTACGAGTACTTTTGAAAATATGTAGGCGTAAGACGTAGGCGAAGTGAATAAACACTTGGTCTATAATAATCTAGGACTTGTAAGATTTCATCATCAAGTTACGCCTATATAATCCATTTTAAATATCTCGCTAAAGGAAAATTCTGTTTACACATGATCGTATCGCTTACGAAGTATATTCTGAGACCTGAACACAAGGTCAGATAATATTGCTGAATAATATGAAAACAATTTGGAGAATTGCAAATTTTAACGCCAAGGTTTACGCTTACATAAAATTGTTATAAAAAAGTAATATCAAAATTATTAAAATATTAAGGCAAAAAAATAAAGTAAAGAAAAAATAAGACAGTTGAACGGTCCAGTCTTTATGGACTTTGGTTGGTAAACGACCTGATGATTCAACCGACAGCAACACCAAACGAATTACAAGAAGTGCGTTACCGGCTTTACACGGAGAAAAGCAAACAAGCTATCAAGCGTTGCTCCACGCATGTATTCTGTGAGGCCGTGGTACATTCCCGGTCAAAGCCAAAAAAAATTCAACGAAAACCATACTTTTTACAAGCTATTAATTGCGATAACAAGCTTTCTGTTCAAATCTGACAGATTTTTATACGCTTAATAGTTCTTTATTAATATAGTATTTCAATAAAATCAGCGCCTCTTTCACCATCTTCAAGTTCCCATTAAATGTGTGTGTCACAAGTTGTTGTACAGTCCGGAATATATTTAAATTTATCTGGTACATAGCGGCTATTCAGACACTATGAAAAGTGCTCTTAGATTGTGAGATTTTTAATTAGTTATAGATTTACAATAATATAAAGTATACTCAAGACTTTGAACTTCAGTTCAATTGCCAACAAATGGAAATTCAAAAGAATTTACAGGGTAAAATTGTTTTAAGTCTACGAAGCGAAGCTAGGTACTCTTATATCAAAATTGTGCAACTGAAGAGCTCTCAAGAAAGATCGTATCTTCACTATTGTTGGACAAATTTCTTCTTCTAGCTTCCAATAAAATGTTTTTCTATTCATTTGAAGAAATTACTGTTTTGAGTGCATTTGTTCCGATTCGTGAGTTTTCTTTTTTATCTTATTGTAGATTTCAGTTTGAACTATAATTTACTTTGTATCGATTCTTATAAAGTATCAAAAATATTTTCTGTCTGTTTTAACAATGAGATTGTATTGTTTGTCTTTTTTATTCATTACATTGTTCATCTTTAGTTTAAAATGTAAGTTAAGTTCAAGTCCAGCAGTAATTTATTTTTCTTTGATTAAAAAATCTATTATTATTTCAGATCTAAGTAAAAGTCATTCTAGTCACTATTCTGGTGTATGCACATTAAGTAAAAACTATTTTTTTTTATCCGGAGAGTCTAGCTATCGTTTATCTTAAGCACACGGTCAAACGCAACGCAAACGTTGTTTCACGCGAGTTTTCTGAGAGGTCGTGGTTTTTTTTTGTGAGGGTAAAATCATCAAATGACCTCTTCCGCCCAGGGCCGGGCGGGAGGGAGTGTCAGACTCTTACTGACTAAAAACCCCCCTGTTCCTTCTCCTGCCCTGGGCCGAGGTCGCGGTGCCTCGTTGCGCGCGGTGCCGCAACCCCGGCTGAACATCAGCCCTATAGGTCCTCGACTGTGGTGGTCTATTGGCTCTTTGAGGCGCGCGCGGAACGCTACGCGCCGTACGCTCGGGCGTGGTTCTAGTTGGGTGGCGAGGAGAGGTCGTGGTATCACTCAGGTCAAGCTGTGCTGGCTCCCCGTTCATGCCGAAGCATGGCTGTCTACACTCCTAAGAATAAGGGTCTCGATAATATGTGAAAGGCAATAGAAGCAGTAAACATATCCCGAAATATAGTCCATTCACGTTTTTGGCTTTTATAATATTTATTTGGTTTATATTTTCAGCTTGGGGTTTGGCAATTACATCTGACACTTATTCAGTTTGTTTTCATCAAAATTTATTTTTATTGCTGCTTCTAAACATATAATCTCTTGGGATATCGTTTATGACTGGTGTGTGTTATTATTAATTACATTTTAGTAGCTTGAGTCATTCACCTCTAAAATTACAATTTATTTTTTTATTTGCGGACAGCCCTTTTTGTCATTTTGTCTACATACAAATAAAACTGTTTACTAGAATAGTAAAATCTTAAAAAAAGTCCATTCAATTTATTTATTTAACTGCCGTAGGGCAGTGTCGTCCTTGAAGTGGAATATCGTAGTTACCCGAGGGTTAAAACACCCATTTCTCATGCATGAGAGAAGACCCTCACTGGATTCGAAACCTAGCTAGGACTAATGTGACTTTTATATTTATAAGTACTTTCTAAGATTATTGAGATACGATAAACAGGTGGTGGAGGAAAACTTGATTAGGAACTTTGGACTTATAAGCTCCGTTCGTTTTGAGCAAGCTTAGAAATGAATGTACAAATGCTCACATGAGAAGGGGCCTTTGCTCAGAAGAAAGCAGTTATAGGCCGATGGTAACAAACAGGCAGACAAACCACACGTTGTGTTTAAAACTTAACATATTGGAATGATTTAGCCTAATATTTGGTCGAGTCCAGTCGAGCCTTGGAAGCTACAGTAAGTTTTAGATAAAGAGGTAGCTATATAACTTTGACTGTCCTGTTGCCGTAGTGGCTGGGCAACTGGCTGCAACGTGTCGCAGTTTCGATTCCCGCACGAAACAACAACTATGTGTGATCCACAAATTGTGGTTCCGGATCAGGGTGGTTGGTGTATATGAATTTGTATTTTATAAAAGCACCCACGACACCGGAAAAAAAATCTATACTGGGGCAAGTACGGCTTATTAACACGCGTTACGTCCTTTTTGAAATTTTGGTTGGATGAGAAGAGCTGAACATCGAACTCAGTGGCGTGCAATTGGGGAGGCCTATGTCCAGCAGTGGACGACATCAGGCTGATGATGTTTTGATGATGCTTCTCTGGTGGTGCCCGTTGCGCTGCTGCCAGTCACCTGATCCAACCCATCTTGGCGCATCCCATAAAAAAAGTTTTTATCTAAAATATACCTATATCTACAAGAATTGCACTCTTATATAAGTTTGAAATAAAACTTTGTGTCGGTAACTGACCTCAATCTGATTTGAGATCCTGCCAAGTTAGAGACGATATATTTTTGGAGCGAAAGCTAACATATGAATGGAGTTGTAATCAAATGATGAGATCACTATTTATTTGTAGTATTGCTCTCTTATAAACTTTTGATTTCTTCTTTGTTAAGTTTTAACAATTTTGCAATGCACAAAATAAAAATAATAACAATGATATGAATTTTCAGTGTTTTATTCCAAAAGTGTTCAATAGCTTAAAATGGAGCATTTAAATACCAAAAAATACCTTTTATACATTGAGGACAAAAAAAAGAGATTTTCCAACTAGCGAAAATCTGACTGGCTTGTTCCCGAGATTACCGAATTCGAACCAAACTACCACGCGTAGGTTTTTAGAATATGAATAGAACGCTAAAAAAGTTCGGTTGCTTTATTTTTGTTCCGATACCTGTGGAAATATCAATGGAGTGGTACTGTCAACAACAGCAAAAGTTGTATATGCTCAGACACCATGTCTCCCATCTATATGACGATGAAAGAGATGGCAATATTCAACAAAATTTTCTTTAATAAATACAAGATTTATATAATTATTTTCTTACACACATAAAAACAAATAGTCATGGGGAGGTGCTGAAAGTGCTTTAAAGACTTTAAAGAGCCTCACATAGTTCTTTGGCAACTATTTGCAATATAATGGAAAAATATATAAAAAAGATACATATAACTATACATAATAAAACGAAGTCCTTCTTATAAATGTCAACAAGGTAAACCTCGTTTTTGTTCACCGTTACGCCCGCGAAAGTGTCGATTTATTTTTTATATACCATTTACTTTTATGTATTGGGCCTTAAATTCTGTGCAGTCAATCTGTTAGGGTTGGTTCATGCATCGCCGAGCTTAACTGGTACCCTCATGTTGGTATATGTACGTAGGTATATATCCAGAATTGTACGTTAAAGCACTAGTATGTTATTTCTTTGTCGAATCGCAATAGTGATGAGTTATCTTTTTTATTATTCACTGTATCGAGAATTTCTGTTATTATAATTGCATTCCATTATTTTGGATCGATTTTCACATTTGCAATTCTTTTTATTGGATATTGACTTTTATTTTTTGAAGGCAATTTTTTCAAGTCCTAAAGTACTTTTCATCGAAAAATTATACATATAATAACAAATTAAATAATAATATATGACTTTTGTCTATTTTAATACCATATCGTTTTCTGGCCCAAATTTACATATGACAACAATTTTCTGTCTTTTAATACAGCACAAATAAGGGTTGATTTTTCAGTGGTTTCATAAAAGTTATCTGGGGAATAATTATGATGTTGTCGCGTCATGTTTGTATAAGACAGTGACAGCAACAATTTTATTTCGCAGATAATATTTCAATGACTATTGAAAAATGAGCCCTAAAATAATAATCTCTCTAACTAGTCATACGGACACAATGGGTCCACGGCACGATAGAGAAAACATGACAACTATTACAAGATCTTTCATAAAGAAACCCATTACTTAGAAAATAGTTGATCTAAAAACAATATATTTTTAGCGAGCATGTCTAATTTTGAAAATTCTCATGAACTCGCATTAGCAAGTTAATGAAACCACCACCACGTTCGTATGATCAAGTTTTGGTCAAACAAGAAAATTCTCCGCAGTTTTCAAAGCGGACATTCTAAGCAAAGGGAACTTCTAGCTAAAACTTCGACTTCGCAATTTTGTAAGAAAATTCTTTGCGCTTGTAACTTTTCCGCATATAACGGGCTTTTTGGCATAATAGACATTGTTTTGTATGCATTGTGCAAACGTTTACATTTCAATTAATGTGGTGTATCCAAAGTCAAATAATTGCAATAAGACCATTGTAGGCACTTAAAACGTCAAAAAAGTTTTGTTTATTATTGAAACAGTTACCTAAGAATTTGCTCTACGTATTGATTGAGAAGACAAGATTTTTTATTACATGTGGCTTTAGACATCATCTTTTCTGAGTTAGTGAGTACATTATAGCGCTTTTTTGTGAGGGGAAATCATCAAATGACTTCTCCCGCCCTAGTGCCAGACCACCAATCACTTTCCTGAAGACACGGCGGTGCTCAACCCAAGCAGGCTACACCGCCACCGAGGTACTCACAATGACGACACTCAGGCGTTTCCTTTCGCCAGATCTGAAACAGGATCCTACCGAAGCTGCCGTGCCCGGTAAGGACCTGCGTCATGCGGAAGGTGAGGACTCCGTGGCGTCCCTCAAGCCACTCCTGTCGGTAAGACGCCTCTGGTCTTACCGACATACTGAACATCGGCCGAGATTGCGGGTCAAGCGCTATAATCTACCGCGTCTCCAATCTCGAGCAGAAGAAGAAATTGTGGGGTGGTTTTTAGTCAATAAGAAGCTTACACTCCCCTTCGAGTCTCCTAGGGCGAGAGAGATCCTTGATGATATTTGAACCTCAACACAACATACCATCTCGTCTTTTAAAGACAGTAATGAAAAAAAATAGGGCCTCTAACTAAAATGTATTATGAAAAAAAAAATGTTTTTAAAAGAATAACTGAATTTTACCTATTCATTTTTCCCGCATATGAACTCTTAACTATGCTAAGGCAGAGTCTTCAAAAGCGCAATATGCAAAAGAGCATAAACTCTTCTCTTTACGTATTAATATGTATGTGTATGCAATATGTTTTAACTTTATAATAAATTAATGCAGAATAAACTATTCATAACAATCGTGCAATAATCTTAATGGCGATTTATAATTTAAATAAAATATCAACAAAGGAATGTGAATAAACTTTTTCACTCCGTTGCTGCAAAGAATTTTATAAAACCAGTCTAGATACTGGAAAACATATGTACCTTCCTCCCTTTGAATAGGAACTAAATAACAAACCTCATTATCTGATCAACTAAGAACAGCTAATTTTGGTACTTGTCGGTACTCGTCCGTCCGTCCTCAACAATCGTTCAATCATGTCTCCTATTGTCGAAAAAGTGCCTTTTATACAAAATCATAATTCATATCACAATACCAGAAAATATGGCCTACATCCTAATAAAAATATTCGAAGAAAAGTGATTTCGTTTTGTCATATTTTACGTGACCCTAAATTTAATTCTACTAGTTCCACATAACAAAATATCTCGTATGTTTTAAGCAAAGAATAAGAAAAATGCCAATATTAATCCTACTTTATATTAACCAACTTCAGTCAAAGTTTTTCAAAAAATATAGTAAACAGTTTTATATTTTCAACGACCCATAAATATTGCAAACTTAATTGGAACTTTGAACATGGATACGAGGCAAGCAAAAACAAACAGCTAATAAACAAGTAATTATAAATTTGAAAAACGATAGCCTACCTCAATCACTTCCAAAGAAAACAAGGCTATCGATTTAAATGACCCGGGTAAAGAGTGCCCAAAAACAAAACACAACAAAGGCGAGGATCAAAATGATTAACAATAGACCTCAAATTGTACCCGAAAAGCAATTACCGTGAGTCTACATTTAATCCTTTATAACTAACTTAAGATAAACAAAGGTATGTAAGTTACAATCGTCTCTTGAACAAAAGGGCTGATGTTATACCTACATTTAATTATGTATTCAAATACATAAATACGCGGTCACACATTGTAGAAGGTGATTTAA